ATTTATGAATTTTGGCACAAAATATTACTTGACACAGGTGTTATTCTAGAAGTCTTAGCCTCTAAAAGTATTCATAAGGGCTAATAACATGAGCAGAGGAATCCAAGTGCCTTTATGGTGAGAGCTGTCTGCAAGCCGAAATTGTAGACAACAATTTACGTTAATGTTCACGTCCTGAATCGGGGTCATGGGAGAAAAACAATAACAAAGCGTAACCTTGAGGAGCTCAACAACCAATCACAGCAGACTTGACATGTACAAATACGATTCGCAGATATGTGGCCTAACTTTCTAAGAAATGACCACAAGCAGTACATAATGACCTACAGCAGGAGAACAACAAATCAGAAGACGCTGCTGCTCCACTGGCAATAATGTACGTAAAAATCTATAAATATCTGTTAATTTTCTCAATAAACGATCTGTTGTCTTCCCCTCATCTTCTGTCTTTACCCCTTTACGCAGTGAATCATTTTAATGAAATCCACTCTGAAGCAAGAATCGATCAAGGTCGATAAACCGAAATGCAACATTGATGACTAAACAGACCAATAGATTCACACCTCTGTCCCACTAATATAAGAATAGAACTTATGCACTGTGGTGGAGTATAATTCCATTACAGATAAAAATTTATTTTGATAAAATCATACAGTGTTATACAGTAATATTTACTGATGACGTTTAGAGCACAATTTACTGCTCATATTAATATCAAGGTACTCACACCACCTCCCCACTTCGTTTATATAATTCCATTATTTTCATTTCTTGATTTGATTGGTAGTAGTATTTTCCATATTTCCGGTATGAGTGATGAATGATTCCTATTGCGCGTGTTGGATGTAGATTCGATGAACAAGGATTCAGTAATCAACCTCTCTCTCCACTTACCTAGATTACTTTTTAGAATTTTAACCCTCTCCCACCCTATTGTGTGGTTGTGTGTTAATGCATGCATTGCAATTGCCGAGCTTTCTTCTAAATTACTTATCTTCTCTGGGTCAACCATTCTTACCTTAGCTAAATTCTTATGTTCTGACAATCTGACTATTCCTGACCTACTAGTTTGACCTATGTAGTTCACCTGACTCACAGTCATTAAAAGGTATTTTGTGAATTATTTTATTTTGCTTAATTAGGTTCACCGGGTCCTTTACCCCACATAGCTTGTCTCTGAGTGAGTTTGTAGGTTTGAATGCCACTCTAATTCCTGCTTTGTTAAGAATCCTACGTAGGGTCTCAGATGTCCCCCTCTTTATATGGAATAACAGTAGATGCCTCATATTCTTTCTTATTTATATTATCATTATTAGTTTCCCCATTATTTTTATTTTGCTTTTGACCTATTTTGATATTCCTAATGAATTTTATAGGATAGTTATTTGACACCAACGCTTCTTCTTCTCTCTGTTTCATTTCATCGTCTAAGTCTTGTTTTGTGCTACTTAGTGCTATTGCTCGGTTTGTTAGACACTTAACTAAGCATGCCTTAACAGTTAACGGATGAGATGAATTAAACTCCAAATATCTCTTACAATGCGTCGGTTTTTACTAACACTAATGTGCAGTTTTCCTTCTTCTATTCGTTTTATTTTAAAATCTAACATCACAGCTAATTCTCTTTGTTCATTTTCCGATTCAAATGTGAACTCTATTGTGTGAGCAATAAATTGTGCTCGAAACATGGTTATCAGTAAATATTACTGTATAACACTGTGAGACTTAGTCGAAATAAATTTTACCCATAATGGAATTATACTCTACCACAGTGCACAAGTTCTATTCGTATGTCAAATATAAGACCTCATCAAAAAAAAAGTATCCAAAATGAAATTATACTCTGTTTCACTAATCAGAAACGCCTGAGTGTTTTATCTGTGCCCAAGGATTCTGAAGATGCACTAGAAACTGAACTGAAATGCTTACGCGAGACCTTGATACAAAAACAAAAGGATTTAATTACACATTTATTGACCGATACATAGTGAAAAAGTGAAGATCAAAACGATTCCTAAGGAAACTGCCTTCATGAACCTACAGTTTAAAGATAACAATAACGTCGAGATTTCTAACAGCCATCTCGAAAAGACAGTTCGTATTAATAAACAAATTTCTCTATCAATAAAAAAGACACATCAAGACATTTAAGATAAGAAAAACACGAAGAAGCTCTTTTCTGAGCTGAAAAAATATATCTTTTCAGGGATTTCATCCTCAAAAGCAGCTGTACAATCATATTTCTGTACAAAAGTTTACATAAATCAAATTCAGCAAAGTGAAGAAGGAGAAAATAATGGTGATAACAGTTTTCAAGTTGATATGGAAGTCCGAAGGTGTAAATATAGATTATAAGGAGATTAGAAACAAAATTACACAGGGTTGGAGGATAGTCACGTAATACGTAAAATAGCTTTTAACGAAGACAAGTGTGAACCGGATGTTTAGCTTTTGTAGCTAAGCATGAAAAATGGGAGGGAATGAAAAGAACAAACAAATGAAGACCAAGCTAGATCCCTGGTAAATGTAATGTTTGCACAAGTTTTCTTTGAGCACATAACCATCGTTTTCGATGCATGTTTCAATGGCTTCTACAGTCCAAAGAAGTTTGGTTTTAGTTCACTTTGTAAATGACTCTGAAAAATGATTCAGTTGAGATGTCGTGACAGACACTGATGAGGTGTTCAACTGTGACACTTGATTTAACCAGAGGCAACTCACGGCAACCATGCTAGATAATATTCTGTGACACGTTTCCAGAGGACGCACATAGAACGATATATGTAGTTAACTCCACCGAAGCAGACGAATTGATGATATACACACTTTAGTGATCATATGTGGAAGTTTATCCTGTACATAGCTTAAAAGCAGTGTGTGGCTAGAGAAGAATGCAGTCCAATGCAAATGGAGATACTGTATATGAACTTAGACTGAGCCCAAGATATGCTAAAGAGGCGAATCTCTAGTCCCTTAAAGAAGACCCTTCCTAATGTTTTTCAATTTCCTACATTCTTTTTCATCTTCACTTGTAAAACTATTATTTCAGTTTGTCTGTGTGAGCACCTCATTCTTACCTGTCTTCGTGAAGAATTACTTAACCCATTACGCAACTATTTTGTAATCTCGTGTAATTCTGTTCTCATTCCTCCTCTCACCTGTATTCACACCTACGAACTTTTATATCAAAGTGTAACTTATTATTATCACTTTTAATCTTCCTTATTATTGTGTCAAATTAAGTAATAATTGTCACTATGTGAAGCTATGTACAGAAATTTGACTGTGCCACCGCTTTTGAAGATGAATTTGCCAAAAGATAACTTCCCTGTTGAGCTACTTGTTCTCTTCTCTCACATTCTCAGTTCTTATAGTAAAAAGAAGTTACAGATAACACTGTATATTTCATCACTTCCAGACGGTCGATAATATAACTCTGTTGATGGTCACATTACGGAACTCATAGAACTACCTGGTCAAATAAAGGTTAACATAAAGTTTTTTACAGCAAACAGTATGGTGTCATACAGCAAAATTAATAATTTTTTCTGCTCCAAGTATTCCACGCGTTGGCACAGTAGAGAATCGACAGGCCCTCCTCATATGTTACCTCGAAACCTCTATATATATACACACCAATTCGTATATATGTGTAAGAGAAATCAAATTGGGATAACAGAAAAAGAGGGCCTTAGTTAAATTCTTTAACCTTTCACCAAAGACCCTTCGGCTAAAATAGGCGGAATGGTTTAAATCAGTCAATCACCAAATACTTCGTAGACACAGGACATCACCTGGACATTTTGACAATATTCAAAATAATAAACATACAATTACAGTCCACATCTTCTTTGGTGTGCTGAGACTATGACAGTAGAACGGCTAAAAACTGAACAATGTATACAAAAGGAATTCTTTGCTGGATGGACTTCAGTAACCTTAGTAACTCTTTGTTCTGTGATTGCATCAGTCCTATATTAACCCTGTCTTTTCTTTTTCGACTTTCATGTAGGACTTAATTTCTTATCCTCTGAGGTTTACTTATAGTATTACGTTATCTTTGCTTATGCAACTTCAAATACACCAAATTTCGATCTCACGATCCTCTGCTTAGCTGTGGGTGCTTTACCAAACCTATTGTTATTGTCGACAATCTTAACAAATTTATTTCCGCCTTTTTCAGAGAAACTTTGAGTCCGTTATCCTACAACTAAACTATACTTATATGACTTAAACCGGAACTTGAAAGTCAAACATGAATGTTGTGTTAAACACTATTCCCAGCCAGAGTGTTCAACGATGAGCTCACTAAGCATCGGGGACAAACGATCGAACTTAATAGGACAGCGGGCTCAAAGGTATGGATGCTTACTTTTGTTGCCTACAAATTAACTAGTCCATTTAAATAGGGGAAGTTAGCACCCAACGTCCAAAGTTCAGAAATTTTTAGTCTAAATTACTTAAATTGCATACCACTTAAACCTTGAACGTATCAAAATGGCAAACTCTTTCGTTTCCAAGTTGAGTTGAAACTAATTTCAGCGTCAATGATATCCTATTTTAAATTATTTCAAAGGTTATGAAAAACAGAAAATAGCATGATTCAAACTTCATCACTCAAAGCGATGCCTTTTCTTAAAATCGATGACCAAATTGTTTTAATCCATCAATAAAATCATCTCAAGGTCATACGGGTTATATATATATGTTAAATAATCTACTGGCCCCAAATTAACTACAAGTACAATAAAATCAAATAAATCATTTCAAAACACCGATGAAAAAATATTAAAAACGTTATTTCAGAATAGAAGGAAAATATTTTTTTAAAGAATAAAATGTGAGAGAAAAGTACAAACTATTTGTTTCTCACAAAACTACCGATCCAACTACTAACTACATTTTATAATATCTTAAAAAACAGCGGTATTTCATTTTTAGAAAAAAATGCAACAATAATGTTACCAGTAAGTAGAGGTTTCGGACAACAGGTTATTTTATTATTTTTTAAACGGAACACCATATCCATAACCATAACGATAATGTCGACGATATAGTCGTCTTTGTAATCTCATCATTCGATATTGAGCTCTCATCATACGCTTTCGATGACGAAAATAACGTCGTAAACGATTAAAACGTACAGGTGCAATAATCATTGTCTCTGGTTCATTTTTAACAGCAGTGCTATTCTCATTCAATAGGCTTAATTGTTCTTTTTCAACTTGATCAACTTGTTTAAAAATATGTTCAACGGATGGTTGAATAGGAATTTGTTTTACTGTTTCAAATGTTGTTTCATTCGATGGTGGTAAGGCGGAATTACAAATCATAAAGCTAGCAAGATATGCTAAGAAGAATAATAATATTTCTGAAGATAACCTCATTTGTGTCATATTGGGATGTATGCCTGTTCAATAGTCCAATGTTTCGAATAATTATTCACAAAAATGAGGCATTATTAAATTTAAATTAGTACAATACTTTTATATATATATATGTCGTTAAGGCTATTGGCCTCATATAGATTTGTATATTTAGATACGATATTTCACTCTCACGTAGTACTAAATATCCGCACACTTACAAAAAAAAGTTTATTTTAAACAATGGAACAAACGAAATTTGTTCTAAAATCTGTTTACCACCATTATTTTTTGTCATCTATAAATTTATGTTGTGTTCAATGTCAGATTTTTACAAAACTTGCCTTAGATTAAATTAAATTAATAATAACAAATGAGAGATGAATGTGACATTTTATTGAAACATTTTCAAGAATGAAAAAAAACTCCACGAAATTTTGAATCTGTAGGTATAAATTTGGACTAGGCATAAAATTTATTGACACTTTGAATGTAGATAAATAATGGCGGCCTCCTTAAAACTTGAGCTACTAAAATGTTCCACCACAATTTTTCTTGTTCAAATTGTTTCAGTCTATCAAAGCATCGCTTATAATGGTATTTTTTTTACTCTGGTGAATATTTCAAATTCTTTTTTGTCTGGTGTTTCGCAGGTATAATTATGTATGGAACGATCCCTGATAAAAGACAGAACTGTTCCTGAGCCTTTCAGTACAAACTACCACTGCTTGGAGGATAAAAGTAACTCTACCTGCAGTCTGTTATTAATCAATGAGGTATGTGGGTGGCAAAATATACTCATGAAGTCTTTTTCACTTGGCTTTCAACCAAATGCTGTACATCTGTCAAAGGATACAAAGAAGAAATATCATATAACTCTGATTTGCACTTCTGGTTAGACGGTACCGTGTCCAGTGGTCTACTATCAATCAATATTTCACCCGAAGATGGTGGACTAACAGAATATATTATGCAACAAATTCTGAGCACTTTATAAATGCTCTCTAGAATAAAGCTATTATCATATATGTTATTCCATTTAGTTCCGAATGAAACATAGTGCTTGAAAAGCACATCTTCATTTCACCCGGTTCTTTACAGTTCTTTTAGTCTGGTTCCCGTGTTACCCATCAGCTTTTATCTCCTCTTCACATAATCTCCTCCATGTTCTTTTCTAGACTACCAACTCGTCATTCTCCATTCGGGTCTAACTGCACAGCCTAGTACATAATAACACTCACTAGTCTCTTCCATGTGAGTTCAGTCCATCCCCACTGCCTTCTGCTTATTTATCGGGTGATATATATGCATATATCGACCACAAATATCAAGTATTATTCAGGTTGCTAGGACTTATGAACCTAGCAAGATCTAGGTCTAGATCCTGTAACTAATCAGTCAAGTCCCTACAAACCAGTACCTCAATATCAATGAGATGCTTACTAGCGACTGGTCGTTTTCAGGCTGGTATTTACCTGGGATTCCAGTGGGAAGCCTTGACCAGTACAGCAGGTCGGATATGAGGACAAATCCTCGCCGAAGAAATTGGCTAGTAGTGGAGCTATATAGTGAATTGGTAGAAGTTAGAATTCATGAAATGGCAAATGGATCGTGTCCCAGTGGCTTAATGTTCTATGAGTTAGCTTGCCGTGTAACCAGAAGGTCCTGGGTTCGAGCCCCTGTGGGTGCGTACTGATGAAGAGTCACAAACAAGGATGAAACAGATGTCCAGTACTCCCAGGTTTTCCAGTGGTTCTCTAACAGATATTAGCTAACGATGAAATCCTGTAATCAATAAATCAAATCCCTACAAACCAATATCTGAGTAGATCTAGAATGACTGATCTTACTGAGGTGAATCATCTAGAAAAACCTTCATAAGAACAGCATTATGCTGGATAGTGTTTATATAATGTACAGAATTTTCAGCGGAATATATTCTATGATATTTTTTCTTTAACCAGGATCTTTAGATAAAAAAAATTAATTGAAAGTAAATTGTCCGATAACCTCGCCTAGCCTGCTAGTTTTTTAGCCTGTCCCAAGCCCAGGTTAAGAGGGAGGTTTGGGCGTGGGGCTAGCAACCTCACACTACTAAACCTTTCAAACCGCTAGAGAAACTTCAACACACAGAAAATATATTAAAAATACAAAAACTTCAAATAAAAATCTTATTCTTCGCCCCAATCAGAGAGGCAAAATGACACAGCAGGCTGGCTGGTGAAAGCCTTAGGGAAGCCAGTCAGCCGGCCGGTGTGTCTTCTCTCGATGAAAGCAAGAATAAGAATGGGGTCTTGGAATGTTCGCACAGTGTACAAGACTGGGAAGACTGCCCAGGTACCCAGAGGAATGAGAAGATATGGTATTAAAGTGATTGGTGTCTGCAAGAGCAGATGGAATGGATGTTGACCATCAAAACTGTCAGCTGGTGAGTCAGTCACCACCAGCACACGGAGGTACTGAGTGTTACTATTGGCAGTCAAAGTCCTTATGCACTGGGAACTAAATTCATCCACGATTCTGGCAGAAAGATTCAGCTCAAAAGGAAGGAAGGTTATAATCATCGCATGCTACTCACAGTGCTACAAACAACACAGAACAAGAGAAGGGAAATTTCTATAGACAACTGCAGACAGTAATGGACAACATCCCAAATGCTGACATTGAAATCCTTATGGGCGATATGAATGCAATCCAAACTGAGAGCAGATAATGCAGGAATAGAACTCACCATACATCGAGAGACTCTGGCTCAGGAAAAATGAATGAGAACGGAGAGCTCCTCACAAACTTCTGCACTTTCAGTGATTTGGTGATTGGAGGCAGCGTGTACAAGTAAAAGGATATACACAAATCAACATGGATTTCACCTGACGGACACACCACGAACCAGACAGATTTCAACTTGATACTGCTCAAGAAAATGAAGACACAGCTTACTGGACACAAAGTCGAGAAGGGGAGCAGATGTGGGCTCAGACAACCATCTAGTTCAAGGAACCTTCAAGGTGAAGCTGAAATCCTTGGAAACAACTGGAAACAGGCCACAATTCAAGTTCAACACTCAGAAACTGTAGGACAAAACTACGAAGGAAACCTTCACTATGGATCAAATCAGAGCAAAGTCGGAGACACTATGTGACATCACCGAGGAAACCTATTTGGAAGAACATTGGAACTAACTCTCTGAAGACGATATTCAAGGAAACGTTTACAACTGTTCTAGGAGGAGAGAAGAGACAACACAAGGAATGGCTCTCAACGGAGACCTGGAAGCTGATCGAGGAGAGGTGGATGATGATGGAGAAGACGACTCAATGCAAAGGTGTACAACAGAAGGAGAATGTGAGTTCAGTGTATACTGCACTGAATAAAGAAGTGAAGAGGGGTGGTAGGAAAAACAAAAGACAATCCTACAATACACTGGCAGCTGAAGCAGAACAGATAGGCAGCAGGTAAAATAGACCTCAGAACATTATATCAGATAACCAGGTCTTTATTCGGGAAGAGACCAGCACAGATGATGAAATCAATAAAAGATTTTCAAAAGAACCTTAATACAAGGGAGGAAAAACGAATAAAACAATGGATGACCACTTCAAAGGATTCTTGAACTGACCATCACCTGCAACTCGCCCAGATACAACACTAACAGCACTCACAGAAATGCTTGCCAGTGGACATCAATCCTCTAACGAAAGCAGATATCTGAAATGCTATCAAGCTACTGTACGCCGGCCGGAAAAGAAGTAAGACCAGACGGAATTCCCTCAGAAGCACTGAAAATGGACTCAAAGGTTGAGGCGGATGTGATCGCATCATTATTGTAATAGGTTTAGAAGGAAAGGAAGGTAACTACCGATTGGAAGAAAAGCTCTCTCATCAAGCTGCCAAAGAAGGGTGACTTAGGCTTGTGCCAGAATTGGCGTAGAATAGTGCTTTTGTCCTGGACGAGGAGCAAAATATTCTCCAATAAATTACGCTGGGGACTGTTCACAATTTGTAAACATCTTGTTCTGAATAAAGCTATTTATTTTAAAAACATACATCGAAAGCAAGCACTAACCGCCATCAGTGGGGGAAATTTGCAGGAAGTCCCGTCTTTCTTTTATTTAGACATCACCGTTTCAACTACATGCAACATGTATGAGGATGCTAGCCAAGATCGAAAAAAGCAGACAGACCTTCGTTAATCTGAAATCAGTGTAAAAATCTACTGCAATCAGCATGAAGAACAAGATTCTGATTTTCAACACTCATTTGAAGTCTCTCAGTGCTTCTGTATGGATCAGAAACGTAGCACAGACGTCACTCGAAAGGAACTCTAATAGGCGACTGTCGACTTTCATCAATAGCTCCCTTCGCTCAGTACTGTGGAGAATTTAATGAAGTGGAGATGTCCTACGGAAGCCTCACATAGGAAAACCTATTTGCTGATCAATGATCTATGTTTACTGCAGTTACTGAAATCCCCTTTTGAATTATTTACAGGTATATTAGCCAAATAACAAATTATATCAGGTATAAATTCAACACTTTTTGTAATAGTACATTTGACACACTTGAGAAATAAAAAATAGCGGGAATAATTCTAAATATTTCTAAATAGTTTCCATATGTTAAAAAAATATATTTCCATAAATATAAAGGGAAAAATGATCATGTATAAGCGTTGCTCGTGTTGCCATAGCAACGAGTTTCGCTGTTTACCCTTAAAATTAAATACTTTTCCCGTTTATTGAATGAAGCAAAAGAAAGAAATAAACAAAGTAGTTGTAAAAGTTTTCTGTTTTTTTCTAAGTGAGTGTTAAATATCTTCATTTTCATGGGAGTAGATCAATTTCCTTGTTTTAAAGGGTTTATAAACAAAGAAATATAATCTTCTAATATTTTATTTATTTTTTTATTGAATAAAACAAATTTGAAAAATATTGAACAGTCAAAAAAAAGCAACAACAAAAATTTTAAGATAAGTAGTGTCTATTCACATAATCATTGTCGGTGATTAGTTTAGAGCACTCATATATGCC